ATCTGCTGTGAGAAAGAAGTGACCGTTAGCCCCGCCCCCCGGGTCACGTCCCGTGGTTGACAATAGGATCTCCACCGTTACCAACCTAGCAACCATTCAGACAAAGTGAAATAAAATAGGAATCTGCAGGTCAGGCTTTTTAAAGATCCACAATCAACCAGAAAACTGCAGTCGGTTCAGCCCTTATATTCAAGTATAAGAAAAAACTATTTTACCTTTTCACACGAAAATAGCCAATATACATATATATAACAGTATGTAATACTGATTAAAAGCACTCTAAAAGTTTATCATAAGTTAGTTTAAGTTTGTACTGGTTTAAACTAAGTGGGTTTTTCTCCCGGTTGGCAGTAGGCTAATCCCTAACTTTTATATTTAGTTATTTTTTGCAGCTCTTTTGTTTTATGTATCACTGGAAGATTCCAGAGAGAAACTAACGCCTCCTGCATGCCCCCAAAAAATAAAACCCCTTTAGCCATTTGAATGTTTTTGGAAGGTCTAAGGAAGGAAAATCTCATAAAAGCAACAGCTGTGCATGTATGGCCCAAATGTAAAGAAATCTACATTTGACCCCTGAGAAAGACGGCAAAATCCTCACATTTGGTCTTTTTTTTTTCCTACTTTCAACACATTGGATTTTAAGACATTATGAAACTAAATGATCCACATCTTTCACTTCAGCTGTCTCAACAGAAGCACTAACCTGAACGGCTAAACTCTCCAGGCCACACCCTGCAGAAGAGCAATCCCTGAAACATGCTGCTGAGACCAAGACCCTGAATCTGACCCTGGATTCAGCACTAAAAAGCACAAACACTCTACAGAGGAGTCAGGAAGCAGGGAGGAACGACGCCTTCATTTTTCTGCTAAATATTAAACACACTAATAGTCCAACTTATTAAAGGTCTCACTGTGGGTTTACCACAATCCATCTGTTTCAGGAGTAACAAAAACATTTAAAGGCGCAGAGTGATGGGTTTTTCAGTTGTTACTAAAACGCTTCATATTTCAAATTTGACTTTTTAAGTGAGATGCTTTACACAGCTGAATGGTTGCCAGGGAGATTAATGGTTTTCTACATCAAGGCAACACTCCTGGTATGTTTTTCATGAGGGAATAACGCTGTCTCATGATGGAGAGCTAAAAGAAATGTCAATTAAAAAAAAAAGAGATGTAAATGAAAATAAAATACCAATGTGAATATGTTTAGCGCCTACATTACAGCCTCACACACGCTTGTGAAATCAAGCAGGAGAATGTGTGCAGTATGGCAGAGTGTGAAGCATCTGGTTCTGGCTCGGCCAGCACCAGGCTGTAGTCACACGTCTTCCTCTACCTTTGATGTCTCTGTGAATCTTCCTCTCCGAATGCAGATACTCGAGGCCTTTGAGAATCTCCCGCAGTATCGTGGCGATGTAGGTCTCCTCCAGAGGTCCGGGGCAGAGCTGGGCCGGCGAGAGACGGGACGGTTTGGATTCTCGTTTTCAGTCTGGCCGCAACAACAACGGGCTGCGCGAAATGTAGAAAAGTGTCTTACCAGATCCAGAGCTGATCCTCCACCTAAATACTCCATGATGATCCACAGCTTGGTCCCCTGCAGTGGGAAAAGAAAGAATAGAGTATTAACTGACTGTTGTTTCACATCGTCTTTAACTTATTTTAGAGCGCCTGACAATTTATCTCCTGGTTCTTATTTCAACTTTCTGTCAGGTTACAACCACATTAGACTTATTTTTTCACTTTTCTATTTATTCAGATTTTTCTATTTTGTTTTTTAAATAATAATGACAGTATTTCATTTATATTAACTTATGGATAAATTGTTGCTCCTTCTTTCTTTGATTTTATTTTTTTACATTGTTTAGTTCATTTTAACTCTTTGGTTTCCTTTAAAGGAAACCAAAGACTGTCGTTCCTGTGCAGCACTTTGGTGCAGTTTTATACTTGTTTTAAAGTGCTATATAAATAAATTTGACATTGACATATTTGGATGTCAACACAACGATTTGACCTAAGTCACATGAAATAAGTCTCGATTATGCTATAATTGTTTATTTTTTTTTATTTGTTAGCATAAAAACACAATTGGGATTATAGGGATTTTGTGTAATAAAATTAGGCTGGAACAATTAATTGTGATTAATCAATTACTGAAATAATTTTGTAATTGATTGATCGTTAAGTGCAGTATACAGACTCACAAGAAGGCAACTTGCTGAAAGAACAACATGGTCAGAGCAATAATAAAGCCACAACTGCACAGAAAATATAGAAATGTAGCATTTAGGATAAATATCTGTAAATATGCTCTAATCAATACTTTTCAAGTGACAGTTTTAGTTTCAACTGGTTCAAGTTCTGTAAAAAAAAAAAAAAAAAAAAAAAAAAATATATCTATATATATATATATATAGATAGATATATATATATAGATATATATAGATATATATATAGATATAGATATAAAACGATATATATATATACACACACACACACACAGCACCTTTAGCTATCCATTTATTAACGAGTTTATGTGAAGCAGAAGGGTCTGAGGGAACGCTTGGCATTTTGCATGCCAGCTTCACTTCAGTCTAATCTTTTTCCACATCTATGGTGTGGAAATGAAAACTTGTCTGGGCCCAGATTTTCTCACCTGAGCTACAGTTCTCTGCAACTCCTCCACAGTTAGCACGAGTGCGACAGTTAGCCTCAGCGAAGCCGTTTGCTCTCCAAAGTCCTAACGCAAAACTCTGCAATATTCTCAGATCGATTACATTTATGCTGAGACCAAGTTACATGCTGGTGAACTCTGTTTACTGAATTCTTAAGCCAGTTTGTTCTAGTTCATTTTATTTAGGGGTGTCAGAGAGAATGGGGCAGAAAACAAAATTGTGCCTGCCTTGCTATTTAATTTTCATTCATGAAGGATTTTGAAAAGGAGAGACACTTCACAGTTCTGTGCTACTGAGTGTTGGTCTATTTCATAAAACGCCTGAATAAGACATTATTGTTTGTAGTTGTGACATAAAATGTGAAAAACTGAAATTATTGCGAGGCTCTTTGTGTACTGATCCCGTTGTTGTTGTGGGTGGTTTTTGTTTTGTTGTTAATCATCTCACCTTCAAATATGATCCATAATACTTGGTAACAAACGGACTATCACATTGGCTCAGGACTGTGATCTCCTGCTGAATGTCTTCTATTTCATCCTCGGCTTCTTCCAGGTCAATAATTTTAATAGCCACCACCTCCTTGGTGCGGTTGTTGAGGCCCTTGTAAACTTCTCCAAAAGATCCCTTTCCAATCCGCTCCTGCCGGGTGAAGTACTCCTCCGGGTCCAGCTTGGTGTTCTGGATGAGTGACAGACAAATCTAAGCATCTTGTGTGCTGATAAAAGTGCTTATGTTTTATTGTGTGTGTGTGTGTGTGTGTGTATACAGTGAGCTTGTCTGTAATTGACACAAAAAGCACAGAAAGCAATACTGCTATTGCTGCCTTAAACGTGTATTTGACGTGCTACAGTGCTGTGCTGCAAAATGTTAATAGAAAATATGATCAGCTGTGTCTGTTCTACGTCACCATATTAATCATTTGAAATACCAGCAGCAAATAAACTCAAAGCTACGAGGTTGTCTCAGCGTACAAATGCATCAACTGCAAATGCAAAATCATTGAGAATTTAAATGATAAAACAGCACATTACATTTTAAATGGTCGTACAAAGTGTCTCCAATCCTGTTTCTTGCAAAATGTAATGGCAATAAAAATGGTACATGTTGTGACAATTGGTTTAACCGTGTGCCCCGATGTCTTGGACCCCCACCCATCCTTATTCCTGAAAAGCCTGACAGCCACAGGAATCCACTAAACAAAGGATCAGAAAGGTGCCAGGAGGTTCTGTACCTGGTTCTGCAAGTCTCCAAGGTGTGCCATCCCTTCTGCCGGGTCGGACAGAGCGACGGTCACGGCTCTGTCTTTCCAAACTTATCAGTCCTGACTGTTTCCGTCGCTGTTCTCTAGGAAGCTAGCTGAGAGGCTAGCCGAGCAGATAAACACCCAAACTGCTGCCTTTTAACGGGGCTGTCACCCCGCGTACCGTTTTCGGCCTTCAAGCCCAACTGAGGACCGAGCAGGCCCGGCGAGACAGCGAGCTACTGACCGGCACGCTCCATGGTATGTTCTCGGTGAGGACGGAGGGAGAGGGGAAAAAAAATCTCTTTCCGTGAATTAATATTTAATTCATTTCAGGGAGCGCTTAGCCTGTTGTTCATTTAAAGCTTGAGGAGGACAAAATAATGGCTCAGACCGACTGCGCATGCGCTCTGTGTAGGAAACCGATGGAATTCTGGGAGGTGTATTTCCACACTTGTAGCAGAAAGTTCTCAACCTGATATTTTTAATCGTTTCATTAATATTTTAGAGCTGATTGGAGCTATTAAAGGGATGTTTTTTATGAAGTAGTGCGAGGTTATTTTCAATATTAAAAAATAATAAAAATATGAAAAATAATTGTGCGCAAAGAACGACAGGTAGTCAGATCTCCCCCAGTAGGATATTGCTGTGTACATTTTAGAAACATTTTTCTGTGTCTTCTAATTGTTCTCCAGATTTCAAACTTTAAAAGATTTTCTTCAACATAGGATTATATAAGTATCTAATCCTATTTCGACAATAGGATGCTTACATAATAATCGTAATATTAGAACTGGATACTTATGTAAATAAGAGGATAACACGGGTGAATACAAAATTATGGAAATAGTGACCTAATGGATGTGTTAATGTTACTCTTCCAAATAAATAAAAAAAACTGAACAATAAGCAGAAGGCATGTTGCAGATAGCCATTCTCTATTATTTATTCAGCCGGATGATTCCTTAATACAGAAACCGCCTGCTGTAATGAGAGTAGTGTGCGTTTGTTTTATAACCTCTTTACCACCTGTTATTGCGGCTCTCCGCGAGCAATACAAAGTCTCAAGCTCCGCCCCCCTCAGTCATGCACGCGATTGTGATTGGCGCAACATCCACTCTTTTCTTGCGTTTGGAGCTGTATCGTTGCTCGCTGATTGTCTCGGGGAGAAGCTGTTAATTTAACAAGTGGAACACGAATTTGACATGACATTTTAAAGCGTGGACCAAAAAAATATCCCCCCAACAGTAAGTAGTCACGCAGGGTTCATAGCTCTGTACGCGGTTCTCAGCTGACGGCTTTGCTAACATTCTAACGCGGGTTGCTGTTCGTGGCTTGCTAATGTTGAATAGCATGTTAGCCAATTTGAGTTAATTAGCGTAATGCTAGTTTATATTCAGGCTGAACATGGCGTCTTTCATTCTGTGACATTGAAACCGCGTGTCAGCAACAGCTATACTCATGTCAGTGTTATGTAATTCAACGCAGCAGCGCTGCGAGAAACGCTGTTTTTCATCCAGTATTTATGAAGCGCCTCACATCGCCTCACATCTTTCATAGCAGGACGCGACTCGACCACCGGACAGTCTGTTCAGACGAGCCAGACATCATGTTGTGACCACACGGCAGCTCCTCGGCGGGGCTAATGCTAAGCATGTCCGGATCAGCCGTAAATGATTCTGCCCGAAGTAAATTCAACCGCTTCATCAGTTGTTATCCACTGGGATGGAGAAGGGCAGCGTGATTGAAATCGTGTGACGTAATCATTTTTACCATTAGATGTTATATTATGTGTGTGTGAGGTTACAAGAAGAATAATCTAAGAGTTATTGATAATTGAAAAGATTAATTGTTGATTCCCCTGTGATGGATACCATGCCAGGCTTCTCCTCCTGCCTCACCCAGAGAGCCTCCTGCTATCTGTCAGAGTGGGACTGGGGCCTACCAGACGGGGATTAGTGGGTGCCATTTAAACCCAAACATTTGATCGTACCCACTCTATTGTTTTGCTTCTAGAAAATATGTGGCAGTGGAATTGGTAGAGAAATATCTTCAGGTTCAGTCTTAACATGTCTTGGTCTCTAGCTACAGTCTTGTGTTGGACAGTGGCACCAGACTGCAGTGGAGAATCGGGTCTACAGAGAAGATCGTCAGGGCTGATTTTCTCTCCATCCTGGACTTGTACAGGAACAGGGTCAGGAAAAGGGAAGCTAACATCTGTGCAGACCCCACACATCCAGGACACAAACAGTTTACTTTCAAGTCAACGTTACAGAGCGCAGTTTGTTTAAAAAAAAAAAAAAAAGTTCAGTACTGCAACAGTTTCTTCCCTCAGGTTGTCTGATGAACACCCTAGTTCATCAGACTATAAAACCTATGACCATATTTTACACCATTTTAAACAAAACCCATCAAGTGTGCATATTTATTTTAATCTCAAAAGTTTTTATATTTAAAAAAATATATTCTTATATCAGATTTCTCTTTTTTCGCTCTCTTGTGGTCACAGGCATGTGCTTCTTCTGATTTCATTTTGAACATGTTGCTGACACAGGAAGCAGCTAACTTCTGTAACAACATCCACAATGAAGAGTGTTTTAGTCACTGTTACATAGCCATGCCTAGGTGTGTTGTGATCCTCTGATAGAGAAAACATTAAAGTTTTGAATTTTTCTGATTGCCCGTGAGAAATCTGGCTGATTTGTACTTAAGTTCATCTTAAAGTAAAATAACTTGAAGGCTCCATCCGCATCTGTAATTCTGTTGGTAAGATAATTCAAATGTCTATATGTGAAAGACATCGAATCCAAGCAACGTATATTCAGAGAAAATTTTTTTTTTTTTTTTTTTTTTCTTTTTTTTTTGTCCATTTGACAACAGGCTGGATGAGTGGGCCAAGTTTCACCCCGCCTTCTGAAGTGGCAGAGATAAACCGCATCCATTATGAGCTGGAGTACACAGAGGGCATAAGCCAGCGCATGCGAATCCCTGACACCCTCAAGGTGGCGCTGGAGAGCGGATCGGGGGCCGCTCTGCTTCAGCCACCTCTGCCAGTTCACACAACTCTGATGCAGGTTCCTGAAAGAATTGTCGTTGCAGGTAAGACACTGGGTTAGTGTCATTAATAATAAACATTTAAAGTAAAACATAGATGGAGCAGTTCAAGTTGTGGAGCTGTTGCAGACCATGCAGGACAAACGGCTCTAAAACCATCATCAGTGGGATGCTAGAAGTGGTAAAAGAAATGTCTCTTTAATTTCTTTCTTTTTGTTTTTCTTTCAGGTGATGATGAGGAGTCGAGGTTTGTTCAACCAAGAGATTTAGATCTAATTCAGTCGGTTCCATCGGTGGATCTCCTGAACATGAAGGCCCCGCCGCGTGTCCTCACCCTGACAGAACAGCCCCTGGACTCTCTGGAAACTGACCAAGCTGCCAACTCACAGAGTAATCCCAGCCAAACTGTAAGTACAATCATACTCTAGCTTTATGGATTGTAATAAAAACTCGAAAAATTGCTTATTGAGCTTTCAGCGTCTATGCACCAAAATCTGGAACAAACTTCCAGAAAATTGCAAAATGGCTGAAACACTGAGTTCCTTTAAATCTAGACTTAAAACTCAGGTTTTTAGAGTTGCTTTTGAAATCTAAATATGAAACTATCAGTAATCTGATGTGCAAAATGTAATGTGTTCGCTGACTTTGTATTTTTAAGATGTACAGCACTTTGAAATGCCTTGTTGCTTAAAGGCGCTATACAAATAAAATTTGATTGATTCTATTCATAATGTCTGATAGTTCTAGTTTATTGGAAATTTTACATTTCATGTTGAAATCCCAGTAATATCTGGAAGCTTCTCTGGAGAGAGCAGTGCATACAAGCCCAGTCAGTACAGCCAGAGATGGACGTCTGTTGTAGCTGTCAGTTTTGTCACCCTGGTCATTGAAAATCTGAAGTGGAGTGTTACCAAAGAGGGATCCTCAGGATCTGATCTTTAGGCGTTTCCCTTCTGTCACACACCTGACTTGCATGAATGTCTGATAAGTCTTCTGCTTCATGTGGTGGCATGCTGAGACGATCATTAGCAGGAAAGCTGTTGATTTTGGCTATTTAATGATTCAGGATTTTCAATGACAATTGATCACTAAATGTTAGCTTTAATGTGAGCCTGGAATTCATTGATCTCTTTCCGCGTGTTACAGACCAGTTATAACACCCGCTCTCGGAGGGAACGCGGTGCAAGTGAGAACACACCAAGTCGTCATGGCAGCCGTTGTAACAAAGGGGATGTAAAGTAAGAAAACCTGAATCGCTGTTCATCCCCAAAGGTCTTTAAAGTCTATTTTTCATCATTGTTTATTAATCTATAGGTTCTTCCAACCTTCCCCCTGTGCTAGCGTAAGCCCCTCCCCCTCTGGCCCCACTGTCCGCCTCTGTCCTCCCCTCTGTTCTCCAGAAGACGCAAACATCAACCTGTTTACAGCTGCTGGGTTTCTGTCTTACGTTCAGTCAACAACACGCCGTGCTTACCAGCAGGTCCTTGAACTCTTGGACAATAGCCGCCGGAGGTGAGTTTTGTTTGGCTGTTTTCTCATTAATCATTACATTCTTTATGTTTCTCCATATAGATGGCCAGCTCTGATTATTTGAATTGAATGTATTTTCAAACCTTGGCAGCAACAACTTCCATCAACTGTTTGTAATTTTTTGTAAAGGGTATTACATTGTATCTAGTGTAGCGTGATGACTGTTTGTTCAAACAGTTTTTTACATCAATTTGGAGGAATTGGGGATCACTTTTCTTTGCAGAATTGGTTTATATCAACTGCAATGGAAGGTTCTTAAGTTTGAATGTTCTGCATAAGGTCAGGCCACATCATCTTAATCAAATACAAGTCTGGATTTTGACTGAGCTGCTTCATAGATTCATTTTGGTTTAGATTTTTTTTAAAGGTAATCAGAGGTGGACATGCTGGTTTGCTTTGAAACATGCTTCCAATGAAAGCTTGAGCTAAAGGTCAAGAGCTCATAGTCAGACATTGTCCTTCAATAGTTTTTTGCTAGAGAGCAGAATTCACTGTTCCATCACTTAACCTCTAAACCACTCCAGCTGTCATCACTCTATACTAGATATAATGCAATATGCTTTCTAAAACCTTCAGCCTTTTTGGCAATTTCCCCCAAACTCTTGAGGATCATCGATGTTTTTAGGCTTTTGTTTAGTCTTTTTGCTCTGCAGTGGCTCTTGGTCGTGGTCCTCTAATGAATGTGATTTTTAGCTTGCTTTCCTATTGTTGAATCATGACTCCTGAACTTGCTTGAGCCAGGTAAGGACAGCAGAACTTTAAGTGTTCTGGATCCTACAAAATTGCCAAAAAACAAACAAACTGTGGCGATTAATTAATGAAAGCAGTTGGGATACTGGTCTAAAAGAACAAGAAAATTTGTGTTGGAAAAATATCGAATTTCAGAATATTGTTCAGGCTGCTGGTTATGTTATTAATTGAACCAAAGATGTGTTAATTTCCACAGAACCCACTTGGACTTGGCTTTTGATATGAACCCTGACGAATCTGGCTTAGTTGATGCTTCATCGCTGCGGCGTCAGGTAATGAATCCCGTAATCTTAAGCGCTGTCTTTGTCAACGTTGAACTCTTTTTCATTTGAAATGATTAGGTCTGAAACAGGGACTGGATGTGTCGGTGTTTGGGGAGTTTGTTAGGTTCCCTATCACAGCCCAGCAGAGTTAGTGCTCAACATAAAAAAAAAAAAAAAAAAAAAGGTGTGCAAGTAAATATTCACATTCTTGTGCTCACCAGATTGTGAAGCTCAACAGACGTCTGCAGCTGCTGGAGGAAGAAAACAAAGAACGCTCCAAGAGGGAGGTGGTCCTGTACTCGACCACGTTGACATTCTGGCTCATTAACACGTGGATTTGGTTGCGTCGCTAAACCAGGATCCAACCCAAAGCTCCAAAAACACTGGAAGCCAAAGTAAATCCTTGTTCAGTCAGCATAGGTCTCCTCTGGCATTCCACAATAATTAAATAATTAATTTAATTAAAGAAAACCAATGTTTTGTTTGCTTTGTTTTTATTTCAGATTTCAAGATTATCTTTGACTAGGTAACACCTGAACCAATGAAACCAGAAAGTGCTCAAAATGTGGAAAAAGTGAAGAGCTGTAGATGCTTTCTGGATCTGCTCTGTATACTCTGTATAGCACCATTTCTTGCTAGTTATTATCCACAAAATGAAGGCCAGCCATCTTGATTTTTGTGTGTATGTGTGCTGTTGCCACTGTTGTCAAATTTAAAACTAGTTGTCTGAGTTAAAATATTTTTACTGTGGGTATTAATAAATAATCCTGACACCAAACACTGAGACAAAGCTCACGACAAGTCAGCTAAAATGTTCAAATGTTACAAAAAAGGGTGAAATTATAAAATAAAAAATAACAATGGTGTTCAATTGACAACAACAATCACTTTGCAGATATTTGTAGTACTAAATATTCCATTATATAATCTAAAGGAAGTGTCCATAATATCAATTCCCATTGTACACTAATTATTTTTAATCTATTTGCATATTTTGGACAACAGTTTTTACCTTTGTTTGAGCAAAGTGGCCTTTACACAGGTAAGGGAATTTAAAGGCTTGAACAGAAAAAAGAGACTTGTACTAGTAAGAACCAAACTCATCTGTTACTGACACACATATGTTAAACTGAGCAGCAGTTTGAAAAGACTCACAAGGATTTCTTCAGTGACAAAAGTTTTAGGTCTCGGACCCAGGCTGAAATGTAGGTCCCCTGCTGTGGCCATCACTAACCATTTGTAAAGTCTCAAAATATGAATAATTCTGCAGATGCCATAGCCACTTTCCTGCATGTCACATGTTTAGGAGTTTCTCATATGTTTTATATAAACTATCTTTGATGCGGGGGAGGCTTACTATGATCTGTTACATGAAGATTTCACAGAGCTGGAGCTGGGTTTTTGGTTTTGTTTTTTTGTTTCTCAGCTTAAAGCCATTAATCCCATTGTTTTGTTCATCAAAAATTTTGCTGTAAATTCAGGAGCCAATGTGTTCATGCTCAGGTGTAGATGAATACTTGTTTTCGAATGGCATATATTCATCCTTCTTATGTGAACATTACTTACATATGTATTATATATTTAAAGCGATAAAACGTTAGGTTAATATTTGTTTCTAATTTATTCATTTGTGAAATGTCTGTAAATATTATTGCTATAATAAATGCTGGAGGCCCATTTCCTCAAAACCCGTCTGGTTGCTCAGTACTGACCCCTACCGTCCATTTTGGTGAAGTGCCGAGATGAGGAAAACGATGTTGTGTTTAAGTAGGGGAGATTCGTTGGAGATAAAACGCATTTCATCTTACAGTCAACAGCTGTGTTTCTAAACGGATACAAAGTGGATTTACCGTGAGATATACTGAGAACCGGACGCTATTTGTTTCATTTTCCTCCTTTTTTGTTTCAAACCGGAAGTGGAAGAAAAACAAAAGCCCATCTGTGATCAGGAGGATGGGGATCACCAGACTGGCTGATTTAATTCGTTCTGATGCTCCAAATGCAGTGTCTTATAAGGATATCAGTGACTATACAGGTAATACAGGACTGAACGCCGACCAGCTTGATCTGCCTTATCTCTGACAAAGGTTGCTAGCAGCTAACGTTAGCATTCATAAAGTTTCTGAGTTGATTATATAACACTAACCAATCACTTTGGTGCTAATCAGTGAATGATGTCAGTGCTTTCACATGAAGTCAAGTGTTAACTGGTCTCTCCATAGTAAATACTGTAAGCTTAAACTGTTACCATAAGTGGAAAAGAACCTTCTAGTTAAATATCTCTAAGATCTAATTATTTATTAAGAAATTTACAAATTATGTAAATAACAGCCATGTGCTGCTGAGAAAATGCATTAATATTTTACTGATCATCATGAAGTCTAAGCAGCTGTAGCTAAATGTGTGCCATACATGAAATACATTCATCAATAATATTTTTATTATTCTTATGTTATTCTGGGTAGGAATAAAATATATTATTCTGCAGAGAACAGTCATGTATAAATCCACAAATATGCATAAATTGTATCAGTTCACTCACAGATACAATGGTTTATGGAACACCTGTAAGCAACAATAACTTTAGGTAATTATGATTTCACTCACATGCAGGGGCGCAGCTAAGTACTTTCTGAGGCGTATGCAGAGAAATGATCTCAACTTGTCAGATTCAAAAAGAAAATATCAAATATCTTGTGACTCATTAATTTACCTAATGAAATCTTTTGAAACCGATTATTTTTGTCCTGACATCAAGGAAATATCTGTTCAGTTTGTCCTTTGGGAATCTATGTCAGTGGCAGGAGACAGTAAGTGAAGAACTCTTGTGTAGTTTTATGATCATTGTGCTGCCACTGTATTCCACCGCAGGGAAAGTCATCGCCTTGGATACCTCAGTGGTTCTGAGCCAGTTTCGAGCAGCAACACCCTCTTTGAGGTGAGAGACCTTCGAAAAATACCTATCAGAAAAAAATACAAACATCTGTACTGTTAAAAAAAAAAAAGTCCAACAATTCATATATAAATGCCAAAATAGCTTCTCTTCCATGTTGATGATGTTGGGTTTCTTCTCCACAGTCCTCTGACTGGACTCTTTTTCCGCACGCTGACCTTCCTGGAACACGACATAAAGCCGGTCTTTGTATTTGATGGAAAACCTCCCGTGGAAAAGACACCTGTTGTAAGAAACATTTACAGCCTTCGTGTTTTGAATTGTTTTTGGGGAGCATTTTGAGTTTGAGAGCATGTGTGAGGGGCCAAAGACCATTTCCTGTTTTGCTCAAATCAGCAGTTTAACTGGTCTGCTATAGAAACGGCAAATTGACTGATTCCAGATTTTAAAAAATCCCTCTCGCTGATTGAGACTTGCTTTTCTGCAGCTGGAGAGGCGAGCAGCAGCAGCTGGTTGGAGCTCCCCCAAAAGAACAGGAGAAGGTCCACATGCACAAAGAGTGTAAAAGGATCTTTCATTAACATATTTAAATGTTTCCAAATTCTGATGTCATTGAATCATTCTTTTATACAGCATCAGCCCAGACTAAGGATTCCATTGAGCTACTGAAACGTATGGGTGTGCCTGTCATCCAGGTACAACTTGTTTCAGATTCCACCCTCATGCATTTTTAAAAATAATTTTTTTCATACTTCATGCACAGGATTCTGCCTTTCAGGCTGCAGGGGACGCAGAAGCGCAGTGTGCCCGGCTGGTGAGAGACGGGATTGTGGATGCAGTGGCCTCCGAGGACATGGACACACTGCCCTTTGGAGCCAACATTCTCATTCGTCAGTTGAATGCTAAGAAGGACAGGTATGAATTGTTGAAACTGCAGTGTGTAACTTTTATAAAAATTTTACTTTTTCATATTTGTCAAATCTGTCACTATGTTGTAACAGTAAAGTAAGAGACAAATAATCTGAAAAAATCGATCTCCTCCTCCACCTCCTTAAGCTGCTATTGCCGTTTGAAGAAATGCACCAACTCAAACAACCAATCAGAGCCAGGAGGAGGATCCTAGCGCTGTCGGTCATGCTTGTGTACAGGATGATAAATGTGCTAATGGAGGGGTAACAGTTTACTGCTACAGGAAAATTGTTTATCCACCTTCATTGCTAACTACCCTTGGCATTGTCAACAGGCTATGATAGCTGCAGCATGGCAGAGAGCAAGGAGAGGAAGGACAGGGGAGCCTGAGTAGGGCCACACATATTGTGATTGTCAGCCAGAAGACCCGCCTCCTGGCTCTGATTGGCTGTTTCTAATTAGCACTGAGAGAAGGTGGAGGAGCCTGATTTTTTTTCTCAGATTATCGAGATGTGTAGTCTTATCTGATTTTGATTTTATACTCATGTTCCCAGTGAAGTTGTGGAATACTCTTTACCCAAGCTGCTGGAAAAACTGCAGATTACTCATGAGGAGGTAAGAGCAAAACATTAATGAATCTTCAGCATAAGTTTCTGTTATTGGAATTGTTTAAAGCATGTGTGTCAAACTCAAGGCCCGCAGGCCAAATCCAGTCCGCCATAAAGTTAATATGTGGCCCAGAGGCACACTGACATAGAACACTGGGAATAGCTGTTGTATGTTTAAATAATATTTTATCCATCAAATGAAAGCAGTTTTCAGTAGAAGAAGATTAGGTTCACAGGGGGAAAAAAATCTGAATTCTTTTCTTAGAATTTTGACTTTTTTTTCTTAGAATTTGCAAGATTTATTCTCACTTTAATCTTCTAAGATCAAACACCAGGATTCTCAGAAAAGAACATCAAAATTGTGAGGGAAAAGGTGAAAATGTTGACATTTTCCTCAGAATTAGGACGTTTGATCTCAAAAGATTAAAGCCAGAATTTTTTTTTCAGTGCTTACAATCTTCTGCTGAAGTTTTCATATGTAAACTGCCAAATTACATGAATGTGAAATGTTTGTTAATGGGTTTTATCAAAACGTTTTACCACAACTGGCCCCTTGTGGACGTTCATAATCTTGACATAGCCTAAAAAAAAATCAGTCTGACATCCTGGATTAAAGTTGTTTTTTTTTTTTTGATGAATCATCACTTTTTTCCTGTCTTATTTTGCAAAATGCCTTTTAGCTTGTTGACCTTTGCATCCTGCTGGGCTGTGACTACTGCGACAAGATCCCCGGTTTAGGTCCGAAGAGAGCTCTGACTCTCATCCAGAAACATCGCACTATTGAGAATGTGGTGTTGCACATCAACAGAGAGGTAATCTTTAGTTTTGATCTACTTCTCACGATACAGAAATTCTTCAAAAAAAAAAAAAAAAAAAAAAAAAAAAATATATATATATATATATATATATATATATAATATAGTCAAATACTTCCAGACCTATCCTGTACCTGTTTTATGGAAATATGAAGAGGCCAGGAAGATTTTCTTGGACGAAACACAAACTCCAGCTCCTGACTTGGTGTGGAGTGAGCTGGACGAAGAAGCCGTGGTGGACTTCCTGTGTCACACCAAACATGTCAGGTACAGATTCATACAGCCTGTGTTTCTGTTTACGTGGACCTGGACTGATGTGGAGTTGAAGGATTTGTTCCATTTGTTCCCGTGTGCGTTTCTAGGGAGGAGAGGATCCGTCATCGCATGAAGACGTTTCATGAACATCGAGAAAATAGGCGAGAGGAGAGGAGAAAGGAGAAGGCGGCGGGATGTATGAGACAGACGCGCATGGACAACTTCTTCAGAGTTACCAGAAAGAGAGGACAGGTGAGGAGAGCAAAAGGGGAAAATACACAAACGTGGATTTTAGAAAACAGAAATCTTCAACACTTCATCATTGATACGTTTCAACTTAGTCATCCCCAAATATGATTGCAAATGTGTTTGTAGTTTTTAATTGTTTTGATAATTTACTGAAGAATTAAAGAATTTTATTCGATGCAGTGTTTTTTTCTTTCAGCAAAAAAACAAAACAAAACATGCCATTTATCCAGAGAGTAAATATTTACAATATCTTTCTTATCATTTTTCATAACATCTCAAGGCATTTATTCTGACATGCTGGATATCAGCTTCTAATGGTCAGAGGTGTTCCTGAAAGGGTGGCCGGGGGGGCCATGGCCCTCTCAGAAAATGTATGTTAAATTCGATAAACAAATACATAACAATTAGTATACATGAGTTTGGAGTTTACCGCAGTTTGCTGGCTTTTTGTTTAACCACTGCTTTTTGAGAGCAAAGCACGGTTATTAGTGTTTCAAGACGCTGCTCAAGAATGATGTTTTTGATTCCATTCTTTATGGCATTATGCTTGGACGGAAGTGCGAGGAAGAAGTCCACTCCCTTGGAAGATGAGCAACCATATAAATGTATTAGGACGCTTCACAGTTGACACACTTTTTATTTGTTGCACAAACTATTATCCAGATGTCCTAGACAATTAGGATTATTTGTCCGAGAAAATCACTTTGCACCAATCCTCTGCTCTCCATCTGCCCACTGCATAATTTCAGTCAGTCTTTGTTGTTTTTCCTGGACAGAAGAGACTTCTTTGCTTCCCTTCTTGTTACAAAGCCCGACCGCAAAAGTCTTTGTCTTATTGTGTGTTCAGATGCATTCACATCCTTAGAGCAGAGCTGCTATGTTTTTTTCAATGTTTAAATCTGTTATTTTCACATCTAAACATTTTTCCTCTCTTTTTTTCCTCCACAGACAGTGGAATCACTTTCCTCATTAGGTGACAACAAAAAGAAACCTAGATCATAATAAGTCCACCTCTATTTTATAGTTGTTCCTAGATTGGAACAATTATATATGAAAAAAAAACAACAAAAAAAACATTTCAACCTGAAGATTATGCTCCGAGATAAATATTCCATACAAAAATAATCAGGAGGCATTTTCTTAATATAACAGATTATTATCCCAATCCAACAGTTCTGATAGTATAATTCAATCAGCTGCTGATTGATAAATAATGTGAAGCTTAAAAGTGATTTAATTGCCAGAGAGCCTATTTTTGATACAATTAAAAGAAACCCAACTGGAAATCATGAAAGCATACTGACCACAACCCCGGATCTGGAACATCACAGACTCCGACAGTACAGTACTGTGGCCGTGTACGACCAGCGGTGTTCAGAAAACAACACGATTCCATTTGATTTCTTGGTCCATGCAGCAGTTTCCTGCAGAGCCAGTGAGACGAGCAGAGCAGGAGGTGTGCGGCCATGAAAGAGAACAGAGTGACCACTGTCAGGGAGGCCAAAACCAGGGACAGGCGACGTCTCTTCTCTGGATATTCAATGAGCACCTGCTGTGTAACAGGAGCCAAGACAGACACCGAAGGCTTGAATTTTAAACCGTGTACGTTGTTGCGTTAATTTCAGAAAGAGAAAGTGAGATCGCTAAGTTCACATAGTAACATAAATATTATCAAGGAAAAAAGTGTAAATCCTCATATTTTTGTTATCATCTTTTGATGTCTTTATAAGTAATTATTTTTCTTTCACAATTAAAATGACATTGAGTTGTATTTGGTCATGTGGTGTTTTTGTGACTTAATGTGAATTGTTTTAATTGCTCTTTTGTGGGACCATTTACTACAGCGAACCAAAAGTTTTTGTTAAATATATAATGTGCCAGTTTATTAAATACACAAATATCAAAAATATTTAAATCATGTCAAGAGTAAGAGATATATGTTTTTTTCATGCATTTATTTCATCTGCTACATCTCATTATTAAATAATCTAAACTGCCACTATGCCTCTTCAAATAATTCTCGACATCTGATTGGCTCACAAGCAACTACCAATATATGGCTGGTATTTGATTGTATCAAACACAGATCATATTGACACAGTCAAATATGATTACCATATTTGATTGGTGACAAACTATGATTTGTATCAAATATCAATGAGTTGCAAATAGCAGCTATGGACTCAAGCAGTGACTGAGTTAAAATGAACTGATCACCTACAACAGATGTCTATGAAATAAAATATGAATATAATTTTGTCAGCAAAATTATAGGGTATTAAGATGCTTAATATGTTTAAGCATATTAAATACAATCCATGAAGTAATTATTTATTAACAAGCCCTCCTTGGTGTGTGTTTAGAATCCAGATGAAAAAAAAACACGATGGTTAAAACTATGTAAAACTTTCTACTATTTTTTTTTTTTTTTTTTGTTGGGGGGGGGTGAAGTCAAAAGATTTTAAGGGTCGTCCTCCTCTTTTAATGCTAAATACTTTCAAGAAACTTACAGGGTGACACTGCCTCCCTCATGTTTTCCAGTTAACATGATGTTCTTAAGTTTTATATTTTAATATACCATTTGATTTAAATTATTACAGACATCAATATTTATTTACAAATTCATTTATTACCTTTTGGTTCTTAAAATGTAAAGCTGCACTTAACAAATTCACTATTTTGTTTCAAGTTATTACATACGGGACGCATCTTGGCACTTATGCCCCTTGATCATTTTCTTGCCATTGTGATGAAAACGCAAGGCAGCATTCCAAACCGACAGATGGCGCAGCCTCTGGGGGAGGGGTCTGGTTTTGTCGACGTCTCACTTACAGAAGAAGAAGTTTGTCAGTCGCCCGATCTCCCCGCTGGACCTCTGCAAGGTGTCTCCCCGTTCCCTGCCGTCAGACGCGGCGAGTCTGCTCCCGGAGAAACGCATTCCGCCGCCGGGCCATTTGACCAAACTTTTCCCGGTGATACCAGCTGCCCCATTTTCTCGCCATGGCGACGAGTGCGAAGCGAAAGCAGGAGGAGACTCACCTAAAGATGCTTCGGGAAATGACTAGCCTGCCTGCGAATAGGAAATGCTTCGACTGTGACCAGCGCGGCCCGACTTACGTCAACATGACAGTGGGCTCCTTCGTCTGCACCACCTGCTCCGGGATCCTGTGAGTGTCTCCTTTTAGCTTCCGCGCTCTATTTGTTGCTTATAGCAACCGCCGTGGAGCGACAGGAAGCAGCTGTCGACACGAAGCTCCCGGGAGGTCCGATACCGTTAGCTCATTAGCTAGTGGGGAAGACGGGACAGGTAAAGCCGCCGCTCCCTCCTGTTCAGCCGGAGGGCTGTTGGGCTGGGCTTTATGGTCCTCCAGGAGGGAGACTGGCTTGTTTACAGCCTCCCTTCAGCATGACGAGACGCCTTGTCTTGTGTGTAGGCTCACTGTTTGATCTCTGACTCACACTGCCTCGGTGCTCCAGGTTAGCATCCAATTCCCGAAAACCTCCAGGTGTTCCGCTGAAGGGTCATTAAACCAAGCAGAAGAGAAACACACCGCTCTAATTAGGCCTGATAGGCGTTTGGACTTAGACAGGATGGAAAAAACCCTACAATCAGAAAGTCAGTCATTCCTCAAGTTTGAGCCATCGACTTGGTCTAAACATAAAACACATTTCTGCTTCTTCTCTGTGTGCGTCACATGGGTTTTACTCAAGTGTTGGTTTTGCAGGACACCATCCAGGCAGTGGTATAACTGGCAGGTTCCTGTCTCTAGAGTCAGGTTGCAATATGGAGATGAAGCATTAGTAATTGTTTACCAACCATTTACCTTCATATTTCAAATGACTTGGAGGCTAAAAATGTTCATAAGAGTATCGCAGTATTACGTCACTTTTATGACCTTTCCCTTTGACTCATCCTGTGTGTATATCAGCCAACCATACACACATCGTGTGACTTATACAGGGACAAAGGAGTTATAATCTTCTCCATATAAGGCGATTTGACAATACACATGTGCGGTTTTAAAATCTTTCCTATGTTTTGTGTCTTAATGTAATGTTTGTCATATGTGCAGATTGCTGTAAAACACATTTATAACACCAGATCACAAGACATAGAGGGAAATATACAGATGTGGCTAAAAGTTTACATGAAGTCATTATGGGCATGAACGTCCTATAAATACTGCTGCGTGTTTTTGTAAAACAAGATTTAGGTGCTCAACTTTTAAGCTTAGTGTGGTCAAGATGGCAGCATGTTGTAGTAACTCTGTCACATTAATTCTGATTTGTTCTTTTTGTAGATTTTTTTCTACAGTGTTTTTGATTTATGAGTTGCTTTTTTGGGGGGATGCTGTGGTTTTGGATGCTGTTCACCTGGAATTTGGGTTTTGCTTTTAATTTTCTCTTTTAACTTCAGGACAATTGAGGATAGTAACAACAAGGTACATTTTAGTTTGTTTCTTTAAGCAGCTGATTAAGATCTCAAAGGCTCAAATAATGCTTGCGCTATGACCCCCAAATCCCAGAGGAGCTGCAGTGGAGGCAGAGAGAAGGAGGAAGTTCAAACCATCTCTTCCATCGATCATAGTGGACAAGAAACAAACCTCCGACTGTATCCTCTCTCTACTCAGCTTTCTAACCGTAGAGCCAGACAGATTTAAGTAGGAGCAGCAAAAGCAAATGAGGAGGATTGATAGTTCTTGCTAACGGCTCATGATGTCATCCTGGAAGTATATTCTCTGCTGCCCAGATATGACATGTCATGTCAGTCAGTGTCTTCAGTCAGAAGTTTCTTCATATTTATTGCTACAGTGATTACTACCAGAGATCCACAGCTCCATCATCCACGTTTCTCGGAAGAAGCTTCACGGGCCAACGACTTGATGTAGTGACGGTGAATGTGACCTCCCTGCTCCTGGATTTGAAAGTATAAACAACAACCAGATTATTTAGGACGAGAAGAGGAAAGATATAATTCAGATAGATTTAAAGCCTTTGCCCACAACAGAGTCTTCCGAATGGTGACAACACATCTTTACAAGTTGATGACAGAAAAGTTTTTGACCATAATGTTTTAAGGAGCTAGGCTTTCAAACCTAAGAACATCATATGAACTACTAGCCATTGTGGTGGCAGCATCATGCTATAATGAAGAAGAAGTTCTTCATCTGAAATCGACAGCTGCTTGATTGAAATTTTGATTGTTTTGGTGTTCCAACAGGTACATGATCTTGTAAATGCATCATAGCCGGTTCTAATGCAGAATAACAGCAAGCTTCAGGAATGGCCTTTCTAAAAATCCTAATGTTAATTAGCTCTGGAGAGCTTTGTGGAGGATGGGCGGACCGTTGGCTCCGCCCATCAGGTCACGTCTGCACCTGTTCGGTTAACAGTAGTCACCCCACTGTTACCAACTTTTTGTTACCAACAGGCTATATTTAGTGACTTTTTAGACAAAAACCCCCAACAACTTGGTATCAGCAAAAATCTGAATTAGCAGGCCCAGGCTTTCTAGCAATCAATGATTGGCCAGAAAACTGCAATTGGTGCAACCCTTATAATAAAATTACTAGAAAAATAAAACAATTTTATCTTTTCACATGGACATAGTGTAAGAGGGAACCATATCAATATTCTATGTCTAACAGTAAATATAGGTTACAAAACCACTCCTAAAAGTTAGTTCTCTAGTTTTTACTGGTTGAAACTAAATGTGTTTTTCTCCCAATTGGCAGTCAGTTATTTCCTAACTTTTAGATTTATTTTTTTGCCGTTCTTCTGCTTTCAAAGAAATAAATTTTATGATACATGCGATAAAAAAGTGGCGACAAAGGCAGACCCGGTGAGGTTTGTATGCCAGCTAAGTTAACCTATCACTAGTAATCTAAGTAACAAACTTCATGCATAAACCTATTTTTGCTGAACTATTGGCTGATGGAATTTGGTAAAGCATGGAAGCTTATAAAATAGTTTTAAATAAATTCTCTATTTGCTTGGCAAAAATTGGTTTCTGAATTAAAGCCAGTTTCTGAATCAAATCTCTGGACTCTGAAAGATTCTCCTGTGAATCGTGGCGTTCTGTTCAGCAGCACACCTGCACCTCTTAACACAGAGGTCAGGTTATTTTTAGAAACTGCCTTCTTGGCGTTGGGATTTCAACCCGACATGCTGAGGCTGCACTGAATGCAGGTGGAGTACAAATTGCATTTATAAGCTTGTGTGTGTGTGTTTCATGTATGAAAGTTGCTGTTGTTCTTCAGCTAACGTAAAGTCTTCTTTTCTCCTCCCTGCAGGCGAGGACTGAACCCCCCCCACAGAGTGAAGTCCATCTCTATGACCACATTCACACAACAGGAAATAGAGTTCCTACAGAAACACGGCAACGAGGTGCCCTGCACGTCTTCACTCCTAAGCGTTTTCTGACTTCACTTCCTGAGATTCCTCTCCCCCTTCTTTTTTTCCTCCAATTCCTTTTCTCTCCCTCCTCCTGCCCCCTTTACTGACTTTACTTTCTCTCACCTCTGTCCTTCCTTCCACCCCCACCTCAATCCCTCAACCCTTCTCTCTGTGGCCCCCTCTCCCTGTAGGTCTGTAAACACATCTGGCTGGGCCTTTACGACGACAGGACATCAGTTGTTCCAGATTTCAGAGAACCGCAGAAAGTAAAGGAGTTTCTTCAGGAAAAATATGAGAAGAAAAGATGGTAAGTCCTCCCGCTTGGTCACATCACAAACACAAATTCAATAATTTGTCATAAATCAGGGTCCAAACTTTTGGCCACTTGGGACAAAACTGGTGGGCGATGTGGACTTTGAATTTTATTGCAATATTTTGTGATATTATAGTGATAATGAATAAAAATGATGATGCCAAACTTCTAATTTTTTTTGGGGGGGAGAGGGGGATTTTTAGCAAGTGTAGTCATTCTTGAAAAACGTTCCCATTTTAAGTAGTTCAGGACACCAGTTAAAGAAGTTTGATTTATATCACTAAACTAGACACACTACATGTAATCATATTTTCAAATTTACCAATAGTTCTGGAACAGTGGAAAAAATCATAAATATAACTTTCCAATATCGTTTTTTTTTCCAACATTAATGGATATTCATCAAGATAATAAATAAATCAATTTTCTTATCATTAATTACTTTCAGTAATAAATAATATGCCCGCCACCCATTGAGAGCCAGAAAATGTTTATGTAAAATTTTCTATATTAAAATAAAGATATGTTTTACTCTTACCTGCTCAAATATAAACGCAATTTGTACTAAATTAAAGTAGTAGAAAAGAATCAAGATTATCCTAAATGTTGTTTTTTCCTATTATCTTTATGTGGGTTTTTTGTGTTTATTATCGGCAACAAGAACAGAATTAGGGTCCTATAAAATCTGTCAAATGTTGATTATTTTCTGAATTCAATTTTTTTTTTTAATTTTAGCCATATTTTTTAACCCAAAAAGTAAGTAATTATGGTCTGAATGGAAAAAAAAACATTAGCTAAAGGTCAGCTTTTACTATTGTCTGTTTTCACAAATGAAAGAAACTGCTGTGCATTAAAGAAATATTTTATCCTGGGTAGCGTTGACTCAGAGGGTTAAAAAGAAATGCACACCACACTTTTCAGCTTTTATTTTTTGGAAAGAAAAAAGTTTGGATACTCCGTATTATTTTAAGTCCACTTTACAATTATTCCTGTTATGTAGGTCTCGGCCAGGATGACTCGACACTTCTTGCTTTATCAGTGTCAGCTGTGGTGTGAAGAAAGTGTGCCGTCTAATTGTTACTTCCCTCTGCCAAAAATCTTTAATCATATGTTTCAGTCTGCTAGCATGGAGTCTCTACATTATCCACGTGTCTGCTTTTTTCCCTTTTTTCTTACCGTGTAGTTTGTGAAAGACCTTTTAAAGAAACATTGTCGTATGAGAGATGGCAGGAAGTAAAAGGTTTTAAGAAAGAAATGCAGTGAAAGTGAAAAATCTGGGGAGTAATGCCATGTGTGCGCGCGTGTGTTTTGCAGGTATGTTCCTCCAGACCAGGCGAGGGCGGTAGCGAGCGTTCAGGCCTCGGTGTCGGGCTCGTCAGCGAGCAGCACTGGGAGCACCCCGGAGGTTCAGCCCCTGAAAACCCTGCAGCTCAATAAAACGCCACTACGCCAGGTAGGCCCAGCCACTGCGGCTGAGTGGGCCCGGTAACGTCCTGTCCATTGTGGGTTCTGGTGGTCAGTTGTCCTGTGTGTCTGGTTGTTCCAGTCTCCAGGGCTGAGTCGCCCGCAGCCCCACAGCACTGGCCAGGAGAAGAAGTTCGACCTGCTCTCGGATCTGGGTGGAGATATTTTCGCTGCTCCTCCGACTCAAGCTGGCCCCCCCTCCACCAACTTTGCCAATTTTGCACATTTTCCAAGCCAGTCGAGTAAGTCTGCACCCAACACACTTCTTCATTCATCCATTACTCCGTACAATTTCCTGCCGTGTCTTTTAATTTTTTAAAATTATTATTATTATTTCCACACCCTATTTTCCATCTTATGGTTTCTCACATGGCTGCAGCACTTCAGGGTAATTCAAACACCAACTTTGCCAACTTTGAAGCATTTGGAAACACTGCAATTTCATCCCATCTGAGCACATCACCTCCCTCATCAGGTATCACCTTCCCCATCACCCTTCACCATTTTGCTTTATGTTTCTTCATGTTTTGTTTCATGTTGATGTCTTCCAAATGCACTCAGTATTTAGCAATGTTCAGTGAAATCTCCCCCCAACTTTAGAGCTTTAAACTAAAATCAATGTATCCGTTAGAAAGGAGAAAAACCTACTTACATAATTTTTTGTAAATTTTTATTAGGAGCTAATATACCGGCCCCAATTTTCTCAATTTTGGGTGATTGACTGACACTTCCACATGAAGAAGATGTTATCCACATTGGCAAAGATCTAAAAATCAGCCACTGTCCCTGTTTGCTCTGTCACAAGAGACGGTGGTCTGACACCAGATCACATCTGCACATGTGCAGTTAACAACATTCAACCCACTGTTGGAGGGTTGAAACGAATTCTCAAATGATTTGAGTACCTCGATTATTCAAATTCGTCGAGGAAAATTTACCTGCCACGAAGCTTCATTAATTTATGTTTTAACATTTAGCGCATCGTGTTCCAGCCGGAAAATTATTTGCGTTGCGCCGAGCTCTGACTTCTGTCTCTGAGTTGTTGACGAATGCAACGTGTTAATGGCATAACCCATAAAATTGGTGATCGGCTAGAAAACTGCAATCGGTGCACCCTAATTTTTATAGTAACAGTTTAATTTTGGGGGGGCTTTTCTTGCACATTTTTGTGATGCTTTGTGACACAGTGCTAATATTCCTTGAAAGGTGGAGGTGTGCCAATTCCCTCCAAATCCAGTGCCGCTTCAGCTCATTCCCAGGCAGCGAGGTGCACAGAGGACCGCTACGCTGCGCTGGCCGAGCTGGACAGTGAGCTGAGCTCCTCTGTCACCACAGGCAGCAACATGCAGGGGTGAGAGGCCGACACACACACACACACACACACACACACACACACACACACACACACACACACACACACACACACACACACACACACACATACGTTCATTGCAGCTGCTGCCTTTCACACACAGACTGCATAACATACTGCATGAACTATAATTTTCCAAAGCCTTTGAAAAGCATCCATACCGCTTAAACATGTTGCAACTACAATCTTGAAAGTGTTTCACTGGAATTTTATGTGAGTGACCAACGCCATGTAGTGCAAGATTTGTGACATGGAAGGAAAATGATACAAGATTTTCTAAAAAATAAACATTCTTATCAATAAAAATGTGTTTTTATTGGTTGAAAGTCCCACATGAATTTGAGTCCATCCTTCCTCGGGTTCTAAAACGTCCTACAGAAAGTGACTCTAGCAGCTTTCCACGCCCAGAGTCTGCAGAAAGGCCCGAGCTCAGTTAGGTTGGATGGAGGGTGTCTGTGAACATCACTGTTAATGTTCTGCCACTGAGTCTTCAGTGGATTTATGTTGGACTTTGAGTAGGCCACTCTAAAACATGAATTATGATTTAATCTATACTATTTTACTGTTGCTCTGGCTGTTCAGATAAGAAGTTCGTTTTTGACTAGGAAGTGAGACAAGACTTCCCAAAACAACACAAAACGTCATTTATAGCAAATACTTAAAATAAAAAGACATGATGAAGAATATTTATACTCTACTCAATCTATGAAAAGAAAACATTTATTGGCTTTACACCTTTTTGGCAAGTCACAATAATAAATTTCATTGGACAATAAATTGTCCCAGTAATTATTGATAAAATATAATGTTGTTTCAAGAGCATTTTTAAGTAAGATGATAACAGCATAATAATACAAGTTTGCGCTCTCAAAGACCAATAAACTTTACATTTGTTAAGAACATTTCCCTGGAAAATATTTTTGAATATCCAAAATAAAACGCAACCAATAGCAATAAATAAAACGGTTTCGGAAGTTTCCATTAAAAAAAATGGCCCTTCAAAACACATTAAGCAGAAGAATGAAAATGATCAAGCTCAATTTCATTTATCATGTAATTAACAGATTAATCGCTTATTGTGGCAGTCTTAACCTGAGTAACGTTTTGCATGTTTTCATACGACGTTAGAAGGGCTCCTTGCCATCACATTAATCTTTAGCGCCTCCCACAAATTCTCTGAGATTCAAGCTGGGACTCTGGGTTGACTCCTCCTAAATGTTACCTCCAGTGGGAAGACGCATGTTGATTCAATTAAAATATGAACTTTAACCGATATCTGCAAAAGTTCAGTTATTTTCGCATTCAGCTTCCTCCGTCCAACAACCAGCTTCCCTGCTTTAGCTGGTCCTGAAGAAATATTTTCCCTCAGCATGAAGTTGCCACCACTGTGTTTCACCATGGGGATGGTTTAAGAGTGTTGCGTTTTCACCATATACTAGACTATAAATTTGAATTTTCTCATCAGACCGGAGCACCATCGTTCACATCCGACCTCTGACATGTTCAAAGTCTTTAATAAGTCCATAAACTTTTTTCATTAATGTTCTCTGACCCCTTCATAAAAATATATCTGTATTTCCATTTTTATTTGTAAAAGTTTTTTAAATCTCTGTGTCAGAATTCACCATTATGAACTAAAATTTTAGTAAAGTTCATGGTTGTGTCGTGTAAGCCTGTTGCATTAAACAATACAGCAAATAACAGTGTGATAAATTGAAATGTGCTTGATGATCACAGTGCTGAATGGCATTTTTTCTTGTTTTAACCAGTGTGAGTCTATTGATTAATATGTTTTGAAGGACAATTTTGTTTACAGAGACTTCTTAATTATCTTTATTGTTTTGTTTATGTTTGCTTTTTATTTTCATTTGATTTTTTTGTTTTTGGTTGTTTTGTTTTTTGTAATTTGGGATATTAAAAAAAATCTCTTCTAGTTCTATTGTTAAAAGTTATAAATTAAAGTGTATTTATCTTTGAGAGGATTCACTCGCATCTTTATGCATGTTATATTACTTGAAAATGCTCTCAAAACGACAATATTATTGTTTATAGCAATAATTTCTGCAACAATTTATCATCCAGATAAGTTTAGAATTGCAATAGGCCTAGTGATGTGGAAATCATGCTTTAAGTCTTTCGCTGCCAGGTCATTATTCTTTATTTATGGCCTACGACTGTTAAACAGACATTTAAACTGTATCATGTTGTGTTTTGCTCCCACAGGGCCATGTTTGGACCTGTCCTTGGTTCCTCGCCAGCTCAGAACCAACCTGTGATGGCCAACATGCAGCCCGGCTTTGGAGGTGGCCCATTAATGTTTCAGTCTTGATTACAAAGTTTAATTTTATTAAAAAAAAAAAAAAAAAAAAAAAAATATATATATATATATATATATATATATATATATATATATATATATATATATATATATATATATATATATAAAAATTCCCTTCTCACCCACCGCGGGTGGTTCTTATCCTCTGAGCTCGGGTCCTCTACCAGAGGCCTGGGAGCTTGAGGGTCCTGCAGTATCTTGGCTGTGCCAAGGACTGCACATTTCTGGACTGAGATGTCTGATGTTGTTCCTGGGATCTGTTGTAGCCACTGCTCCAGTTTGGGGGTTACTGCCCCGAGGGCCCCGATGACCTCAGGCACCACTGTGGTCTTCACCTTCCAGGCCCTCTCCAGTTCCTCCCTGAGGCCCTGTATTTCTCCAGTTTCTCGTGCTCCTTTTTCCTGATGTTGCAGTCGCTTGGTATTGCTACATCTACCACAACGGCTTTCCTCTGATGTTTATCCACTACGACAATGTCTGGTTGGTTCGCCATTACCAGATATATATATATATATATATATATATATATATATATATATATATATATATATATATTATATATATATATATATATATATATATATATATATATATATATATATATATATATCACTCAGCTCCTTCAGACTAGCCAGCACCAATCATGGTGGAATTGCACATCTGATGAACTCGTTATAGGCGTTACTTCTCAGTGAAACGCTGGTAAAGACGATGCTAAAGGGTTAATTGAGGAATTTTGTTGTGACTTCTTGACGGCAGAGTTTCTGAAAGAGCAGGTGTTTTTAAAGATTTCAAGGTGTTAAATTATAAAGTCAAATATTTTTAAGCCATACTTCATATATCCACCATTTTTGTAACAACTGAAGAGAATTTTATTATGCTCTGAAATTGTACTATGTGGCTGGAAAATACATAACACTGCCTCTTTAATGAATGGCAGCTCTAAGAAGGTGGGTTTACAATTGATTTAAAGGATGCATGTTTTTGCAGGTCATTATTATTTATTCATTGCTTATGACTTATGAGTAGTTTTATGGAAGTTTGCTCCAGGTTAATGGAGCATAAAAACTGAATGCTGCTTCTCCATGTTTGGTTCTGGTTCTGCTGATGCAGAGCAGACCCATAACCAGAAGACCTGAGAGGTCTGGAAGGTTGACATAATAGCAGCAGAGGATCTTTAATGTATTGTGGCGCTAAGCCGTTCAGTGATTTATAACGTACAGGCTGATTTTTATGACTGTTTCATCGTAGCGGTGCCATCCACAAATCCCTTCGTTGCCGCAGCGATAGCCCCCGACATGACCTCCAACCCCTTCCAGGCCAACGGCAGAGGTCCAGCTGCAGGTAGGAACATTTAGAAAACCTTTGTTATTCTGTGTTTCTGATTAGATACTAGTGGAATTTTAATGTAACTCTGTTACATTGACAAATAGTCTATGCTAAGTATCTAATGTATCTGTGTGTGTGTTGTGGGTATGTGTGTACTGTCGCTGTGCACACATGATGTGTGTGTTTCGTAGCCTCGTTTGGTACTGGCTCTATGAGCATGCCCGCCGGCTTTGGGAATGCGTCTTCCTACTGCCTCCCGACCAGTTTCAGCGGAAACTTCCAGCAGCAATTCCCTGGCCAGGCCCCCATTCCTTACTCCCAGCCTGGGGCCTACCACCCTCAGTCTAATGGTTAGTGCCCTGTCCCCTCTGACCTCACACAGTATTGTACCTGTACAGTACCTGCCTTGTATCTTGTATCTACTTGGTCATAAAGGAATGTCTGGATGGACAGTAATTTGTTTTTTTGTTTTTTTTGTTTTTTGGCAGCTGCTGTACAGTTACTGAAGGTTTGCATTTAGGGTGCAAAGCTTTTTGAGTTATTGTTTTCAACATATAACATAATAATAATAATAATAATTTTAAAAAAGCATTCGTCAACATGGCTCTGTTTACACCTAAATGCAACAGAATATCTCAAGGTTTATTCTCTCATTTTATTTTCCCTATTTCTTTCAAAGTTTTGAATCATTGACTGTTATGGTTTAAATCATTTTAATATTTATGTGTTTGTGTGAAGTGAAGCCATATTCCTTCCTTTCTTTCTGTCCCCCTCAGGGCCCGCCTTCCCAGTCTACGGTCAGAACAAGCCCTCTATTACACCCTTTGGGCAGCCCATGGCTGTTCCTGGCATGTCCAATAACCCATTTATGGTGAGCATGCTCTGTCCCGTGTTTTCCACAGTTCTCTTCAGAACTACCCAATCCCACCAGGGGTCTTTCTTCTGCTGCAGTGCTTGCTTTTTATTTTGTTTTTATTTTTTCTGTTTGTGTTGTGGAATCTGCGATGGCCTTGGAGTGCAAACCACATCAACAAATTACTGAACACAACTAAAGATTGAAAAACACAAGAACATTAGCTAAGCATAATTCCAACTTAAGAAAACACAACAACAATAACTAAACAGAAGAGGTAAGTCCCTGAGGCGTCGCTGATTGGATGACACCACTTTTCATGTTGCGATTTTTGATTTGTAGTCGTGTTTAGTGATTTGCGGAAGCGGTTTGCACTTCAGGGCCACCGCAGGAACCTAATCTTGGATAATTCTTTTTATTTCAGGCTGGAGCGCCAGCGGGGCCGTTCCCCTCTGGAGGTTCATCCACCAACCCTTTCCTGTAGCACAGCTCCTGGCTTCGGCCACCAGAGGGCAGCATGCAGCACATACTCAAACGCACCTGTTCCGTCACGCAACTAGTGACAGTACATTTCTTGAGAAAAGACTTATCTATTTTTTTCTCCATGAAAGAAGTTTACAACACTATGAAGGAGTACAAAGGAATATATTTAGGACTAAGGGACAGTTATGGGGGAAATGTACTGTCTGGACTATACTCCATTATTGTATGCTTTTTATTTTTAATATTTTTTCCGTTCTAACTGTAAGCTTTGTGCATATCACTATTTGTAATCACGAACAAGTACATGTAATGTATAACAAGGACTGAACTAACAAGGATGCGTAACCACAAACCTTGTGTTTAAAAACAACAAAAAAGAAAAGGGGAAGAAAATCACTTCAAACTAATAGATAGGTAACAGTTTACATTTTAACAGGGTCCCATCAAAATCTGCATTTTTGGTAGCGTGAAGCAGTCATAATATTGTTTTTTTGTTTTTGTATGTTTGTTTTTCATTTTCAAAAAAGGGAATTGTTGTTTTCTTGTTAATTTAAGAACTCTTGTTTTTCGCACCAGGTTTTCTGTATTAAGCCGTGTTTCCATTACTGCCATTCTTGAAATATAAAAGTAGGCTTTAGTCTGATAGCTAGGACTTTTAAAAAATACAATGAAATGTAACCTTCAGAGCAGGTTCGTGTAATTTGGCATTGATCTGAGACAATAGGCCAACATTTAAAGATTGTCGATTAGGCGTGGACTGGTGTGAGACTGTCACCATATGAAATTAAGTAAAAAAAAACAAAAAACTGCAGTTTTAATACTTAATTTGCTTATTAATTAATTAGCTTAATTAATGAGACAATAGGCCAATTGTCTCATTAATTAATTAGCTTAATTAATGAGCTAATTAAGTCATATTTCATCTGAAAAGTAATTCCTACAATTTTTACCTATTGGTTTCTACAGAAATAGGAATATTTATGATGGTCCTACAGAGACTAAAGCAGAAATATATAGTAAATACCTGTTAAATTTAGTCATTAAGTGCTTATTAGCCGACCTGCTAAGGTAGTGGATGCTTACCAGAGGAGATTCATAGCTTACCAACTGTAGGTTTAAAACAGTGCTACCCTCAGGGTGGGTGGTTCTGTCTTTGTCTTCACACAAATATTTCCAAACAGCTGAGCTAGTTTTTCTGTTCAGCAACCAGCTGGGGCAGGGCGTCTTACTGTAGGCCCCAGGCCCACGCCTGTTGGCAGTGCACAGCAACTATACTATGTAGATTATGAGGCAGACTGGGGTCTGTCGTGTTTTACTCACAGGTAAAGGAGCAGAAACGGCTCTTAGAGCAGAAACAGAGGAGAACCAAGTAAAGGTTGAGTATTAGTCGGATTTCTTTGTGTCATTTTACCTGAGCTGATAAGTCCTTGTTAAAGTTGATAAGTATACTCTTGTTACTTGGGGAGCATAATTCAGATATTCTCTATATTCTATGAATAAAAGCAGCAGAAAGAGACTGTTATTGAAGGCCTCAGGCTTGTGATCCGGTTTGGGCTACCTCAGAACACATGAAGTCAGGATCCCACGGTTCTGTTGGGGAGCGGCGCTTTAAAAGCAGAACATCTTCAGCATTTGACTGACTAAACATCTGAGCGATCAGGGTTGTGCTCACTGTCCTCTTTTTGAATCTGTCCTCTTTGTCTTCGTTCTTAACGCATCAGATGAGACGAGCAAAAGGTGGAGAGAAGACGGTTTGTGTAGATGAGGCCAAGTTTCAGGACTGCACACATCACTGGACCAGCCCCCCTGACTGTGGGCAATTTGAATTTCAGTTATGTTTTAAGAAAAAAAATGTTTCTTGTTTTTACAAGACTAGGTAGTAAATGTGTACATTTATAAATATATGTATAAATAAATTAAAAGATTTTTAACTACACTGCCTAACTTGTAAGTCTTTATAGCAGATGACATACTTGGCGCTTCAGCAACATGCTGCATGAATTGATGACACATAAACATTTAACAAAGATCATTTCAGGTTCATCTATATGTTGTATATTTATTAGGTTTCTTAAGTCTGGATTTGGTCCTGTAAACATAAAATGTGATCTGGATGATGATCTGGATGATAATCTGGATGATAATCTGGATGATGATCCTTGAATCTCAACAGGACTGAGTCTGGCGTTGTCAGGGCAACGCCCAAACACTCGACATGGCGTCGCTTCTAACAGATCCGTTGTTTGAGACTTGTGGACGGGGTCCTCCGCCAATTAAAGATTATTACCACTTTTTTGTCACCAAGTCAGAAGTAAGTAACCACTGTGTGCGGCACAGAACAGCTTTTGTTTCCTTTTTTGTAGTTGAAAGGGTTGAAACGGCTAGCATAAAGAGCTAAACCTGCGGAGAGACATTTCCAACTTTTCCATCAGTTTTCAAAAATAATAGGCGCGTCTCAATTCGTTTGAAGTCTTCAAAAAGTGAATTACACACAGTAATTTAATGTCAGAATTAAATTACTTTTGAAATTATTTTCACTTTTTATTTTTAATCAGATTTCTGATATATGTTTTTTTTCAGTGACCTTAATCCTTTTATTTTATGTGGAAATGTGGACAGACCTTATGGCTTTAGTATTTCTGTTCCATCATATGTCACAAATGCTTAGATGAAGAAAAAGGGCCTCACTGATATTTAATAAAAAGAACCAGTCTGTGTTTTTTCCCTCCCTGATTTGAACTGGAGCTCCTTTACTCTGACCATTTCCAGATAATATGGAGATGGTGGAAGATCTCCCCCAGAACGGTGGACAGACACAGCAAGCCCGGAGAGGTGAAGGAGTCTCTCAGCGACTTCTTGGAGGACCCTGATCTACAGAGTAAGGCAACGACATCTCGAGATTTGTTAAAACACAGTCAGTGGAAACAAATGTCTCGTCTGACTGCAAAACACAAAAGAGAAAAGGCAAAACTAGTCAGGGGAGTTGGTTAGTGGTTAGTAGAGGCGTCTCTGAGTACCATCAAATTTCTAAAATTTGTGCTTCCTCTGCAAATAACATCAATTTAGAGAGTATAAAAACTTGATTATATTTATTCTTTTAATATTTTATGATCAAATTTATTCTTTACATTTGCCTTTTTTTTTTTCTTTTTTTTTTTTTTGCTATGACAACATTTTTGTATCAGGAGAAGAAAAAATCTATATCAAACATTTAGTAAAAGCACCCAAAAAAATGATTATCATCAATACTAAGCAGTATCTAACACAACTAAAAGACCTTCTCCACTCTGCCTGTCACACACTGCATGGTGAACTGCAGCTCCTGCTGTCTGGGAAGGCATTAAGAGCCACAAGTGAGAACGACGATTTCCTCTAAGGCTTGCTGTTGTAGAATCATCGTGTCTCTGATTGTGTTTCATCTGGTTGCAATAGACTTTTTTTTTTTTTTTTTGTTGCTAATTATAACAAGCAATAAATAATATCAAGCATGTAATCTACAAAAAAAAACAAACAGACTATGGCCTCCTCTTTCAGGAGAAGTCAGAGTGGTTTTTGGAGATCATGTCCTGGAGTTCACCATCGCTTTGTGCGAAGGCCGTTACAATTATCTTGATCGGTTGTCCGACCCCCTCCTCCTACGGATAATAAACTTTCTGGAGCTGGAGGATGTGGATCAGCTTGCACAGACTTCACGCAAGTTTCAGCAGGTGAGCTGCAGAAAAACACAAATCAAATAATTCTATATTATGCACATTTTGTATTGCTTCAATTTTGAGACACTGTACCAAATATTTTACTTTTTTACAAAATTGCTTCCATGAAATCCAATAAAATATAAAGTCAATGAAGATATCATTCGTAAACTGCCTTTTGCATTCACTCTGGTTTTTTGCCTGACGTTAAAATGATGATCTGAAAGATTAAATGTGGCAAAACCATAAACAGAAACAAAATCTCTGAGGTAGAATATCCTTCTTTTACGTCACTGTATCCTACCGTGAAGTGTTTTTCCCTTCAGCTGTGTGGGTCAGAGGAGTTCTGGGAGAAGGCAATGCGTCGCCGTTGCTGCAGCATTTCTGACGAAGTGGCATCTCTGGCAAAGGAAATAGGCTGGCGCACCGTTTTCTTCACCAACAAGTTACATCTGCAGAGGCTGCTCAGCCGCAGGAGGCATTCAGCTAGGGAGCAACAGGAAGGCACCGGCACCGAGGACGTTACAGAGTCACGGGAATCTTCCACTGAAAGCTTTGAGGAAATGATCGCTGGTATTAGAGCTGATCCAGACTCTGACCATAAAGAGCCACACCTTGACAGCACTGAGGTACAAGTTGACAACATTGATCCACAGATTGACAACATCTCCACCCGTGATGCCGCCTCTGGTTCAGAGGGTGGAGTATGATTCCATTAAACTCCTTTGCTGACCGCTTTAAGGACAACATCCAGTTGTCTGAGATTGAGAATTTCCTCCAAACAGAAAGTTGTTCAGGGGGTGGGAGGGAGCACAAAGCCAGTCTGACTGACAAAAGCCTTATTTAAATTTCAGTTGAATTCTTATAGTTGTATCATTAACATGTGTGATTAAATATCTGGTTAGTTGCTCATTTGAATCATCTTTTTCTTCATTTGTCTACATTACTTGTTTGACTACACATAAGAGACTTACTTTACAGTAACAGAAATCATTTTAATGTTAATGTACATTGATATTTACAATTCATAACTCAGAAGAGCCAATTCATTCAAATGAGCTCTTCTGGCCTGTCATAGCAGTTTTAGCTAAATGTAGCTATACACTGTTGTTTACATGTAGATGGAGTATGTTACTGGATATTAATATGCTAGTTATAGCTGTTGTGCTCATGATAGCATTTAAGCTGTCATAAATATGTATGAAATAACAAATTTTGATACTATAAGTTAAAATGATGCCGTAAGCATCATTTTTAGCTTACTGTGGCATTTGAGCTAAAGTTAGCTTATAAAGTTGCTGTTGGCACAATAAAATATGTTGCTATAAGGAAAATAACACTTTAGCTAAAATTAGCATTTTAGTTCATTTTGATATAATTGCAAAACTTAACATATTGAATGGACTAAGTCCATGTTAGTCAACATATAGTACTGGCCCATATCATATTGACATCATTTTATCTCACTGTAGATAAAATGTATGGGTGATACACATTTTATCACCCATATACACTGTTTCTATACCAGAGAGAATAGGTTCTTTAGTATTTTAACTCATTTTGGACATTTTCATGGAACACAGTAAACACACAAAATGTCCTTTTTTAAGGTTTGACTCTCCAGTTTGACGGCTGCAGAACCTTACTCCCCACCTGAACTTGTGATTCGGGTCTTACCGATACACACACTTTTGGAAGGCCTCTTTTAGCTTCCTTCAGAAATGTTCTCATATTGAACATGTCATAGTTAATAATTGCTTCTTGAGAATCAGATCTACAATGGGTTTAAAACTGTCATCAACTATTCCATCCCTGTTAAACAATCTTCTTCAAAAGAAAATCATTCTGTAAGGATGCCAACATTTTTTGGCCGTGTTTGTATTTAATACTTACATCAGCTCCCTCCCTGTCTGAACAGGAGACACATAAAGTAGGAGTGTTTATAGAATTAATGGTGTCTAGGACTCAGAAGAAGCCCCCTAGGGGGCAAAAGCAGCCAAAGCTAATGGACTGGTCTATTCTTAGTGTTCCCTGCCTGCCTGTTTGGACCACTTTATTTTGAAGAAATATAGTGTTTGCAAACATGTAAGGGTTATTTATATTTTTTGATCAGGTTCCAGTTTTCCCCTACACTGAAAAAGTTAGGCTTACAATAGTGAAAGAAAAGCCGGAGACGAAGGAGAAGAAACACAGGCAGACTGTCAGAATGTCCTCCATGTTTTTCTTGAGACATAAGAAGCTTCTTTGCTCCCTGTTTTGCAAACTGCCAGTGCTGAGCAAGCTCTGCACCGGTGGCAACAGGACTCTGTTGCACAGCGCTGTGTTGCAGGTTTTCCTGGAGTTGCTGGAGACTCTTGGGGATCCCGAAGCCTTATTTTGTCATCTGTGATGACCTGGGACAATAACACGCAAGACACATTTAAAAAGAAGACATGTCGGAACACAAACAGAAGAAGAAAAGAAATTGAATAGGATACTGGCTGCTTAAAATCTTTTAACATTCTCCAGAATATAAAATCCTGAACTATCCCTTTAATTTGGCTCCCTGCTCCGCTGGGAATGTGTGCTGCCTCTCTCTCCATGTAGAGCTGTCTGGAGGACTTAAGAAGATTGAGTGAAACAGTGTGAAGACGACATAACATCTTCTGAGGCACTAGCTCAGAGTGGTTAACCTCATCTGAACCCTTGCTAACAACACTCCACCAATCACCATGCTAGGTTAATTACACCGATGTTAAAGCAGCAGGCGACTCATTGAAAAAGCATAAAAACCAACTGAAATAAAACATCAGAGGATCCTTTTTGGAAACAGTCCTGTCAGCGTATCTGACACAGATCTTTATTTGCAACCACTCTCTCCTGTGATCTGATGTGACCAAGTGCCTTGTGACGGTACCAAGGTCCAACGGGAGAGTAACTGAGCAGCAGAAGTCGTGTGTGAGGTAAAAGTGAAACTTATGAAGGGATCTGTGAGCTTTCAGCTTACAGCTCTCTTCCCTCCCTGACCTGGAAACAGATAAAACTCATGGCCTCTTTTCATCCACTCAGGAGGCTTAAGGGCTTCACTGACACTATGATCCATTTACAAGTCCACACTGTCATGGCTGACTTGGGTGCTGGCTCTCTTAGATCAAAATATTCTTAAGCTTTCTTTTAGCCAGTGAGAAAAAAAAGGAAATGTTGGTCTTGTTTTCTTCAGTAAAGTGGTTTAATGAGGACCTTAACTATGACCGATCCCTCTGACTGTTTTTAGAAGCTGGGTGATCTGTGGGGAGTCTTCCCAGGCCACTGGAGGGGGTCAAAAGTTCTTACATTGGTGGTTGTGGACTGCAAGCAAAGCCTTTGATCTTCTGCAGGACACTGACAGCTCGAGACTCTTTGAGAAAGGATTAGCTAATATTATCTCAGGTTTATCAACCTGAACTGGCCCACACATTATCATAGACAAAACGTTGGGATTGCCTGCAGAAGTAGGAATAATATATTAATTGGCATCTAAAGTTTGCGATTCAAATCGTTTCAGAAATGTTAAGGTGAGGTTCTATGAAAAGGCTATAAGCAGCTGATATGCAGAAGATAACCATCTTGGTGATTTATTAAAGGGTCTAGAAGGTGGAAGCTAACGGCTAGTCCCAGAGCGGCCGAGGCCAAACAAAACACAGTGAACTATTTTCCTTAAGACAATTTCAAACTAGAATTTAGTATTTTTTTCTGTTGCCTTTGTAGTATTGGATTCTTCCTCACTGTGTGGCTTTTTTCTCCTCCCTGAAGAATATCAGAGCTGGACATTACCATGGGCTTTATCCTTGCACATAACTGTTCTAACAGGTGAATGTGGCACCTTCACTAATCTTTAAATTGCACCTGCAGCTATTGAACCAAACCACATAGAAAAGCTGCTGTTAGACTACTTTTATTGAATTTCATATGCAATAAAAGCTGCTCTGTTCTACTTGGACTTTGTCCAAAATGATCCGGGCCCAAACAGCCACATGCGGGTCCAGAGCTGCAGTTTGCAGACCGTCAGAGCAGCTAAACACCTGGTTTCAGTCACATCTGTAACATCTGCTGGTTTCACAACCAGGATGTTCTCGGAGACCATCTCACTCAATATGGTCTTCTTTATGACAATAAAAACACAGTATTATTAGAAATGTGCTGCAGATTTATTTATTTATTTTCCTTTTTTAGTGATCAAGAGATGGCCGTTGATGAATTAGAGTAAATATTGCCAGTGAGAGAGGGTTAGTTAATTCAGGGGAGATAAAAAAAGCAAGCAGATTAGAAGTGAGCTGACTGAGGTCCATGTTTTGGTGAGACAGGCAGGAGGAATGTAACGTTGCCCAAGATCTTTTCCCATTCCATGTGCGCACGTGTGACTGATATCTTGTGAAAACAAGATATGATAACGACACAATATCGAATTCAGTTTTACAGTTGTCGTGTTTCAAGTAAATGCACAGATAGACATACTAGATTTATTTAAATTTATCCATGACAAGTCAAAAAAATTTTCTGGCTATTTCTTTCTTTTGATCTTACTGTGCACCTCACTGTTATCTTCATGGTCAACAGAATCCAAAGGACCACTGCTAGACTTTGAAAAATCAGGGACAGATATAGAGGTCTTCAAAGCCTCTTACGACAGAGCCCGCTTACGATTCCCTTTCCGTGTACAGCATCCTTGAATAGACCACACAAAGATCCTTAAGCCAAAATCCCTCCTTGGTATTTAATTCTAAATGAGTAATTACTGGGTGTGTCAGTGTGTCTTAGGTTTGCAGGTGTGCTGTGTGCAGGAGCTCATTTGCACGCTGGCTTTGGGAGAGAAGTGAACTCTTACATAGACGCACAAACTCCAAGTGGGCATCCTTGGGAAGCCACTGAAGAACCCAGTCACGTAGGGGGAGAGAACACATAAAACTGCCAAGATGTGTGACATGGGGGGCTTGGATAACCTGGTGGCCAACACGGCCTACCTGAAAGCACAAGGAGGGGATGACAAGGAGATGAAAAAACGCCGCCGGAGCTTGTCTCTGCCCAAGCCAGAGCAGTGTGCTGCCACCAGAGGAGCCATCGAAAAGGACTTTACATCCATTTGTGAAAGGCAGCCTATAGGGAAAAAGCTTTTCCGTGATTTTCTGTCAAGTACCCCTGAGTTCAAACTTGCTGCAGAGTTCCTGGATGAGCTATATGACTGGGACCTCGCTGAAGGTGCCACCAAAGAGAAGGCTCGGCAAGAAATTATGAAAAAGTACTGCAAAGCTGACTCCAAATCCTTCCTGGCCTTTCTTACCGGGGAACCTGCGGAAAAATGCAAGTCTGTTACAGATGCCAACTTTGAAGAGGTGATGAAGTCCAACGTCCAGGACGGCGTAAGAGAATTTCTGAAAGGAAAGCCTTTTACAGAATACCAGGCCAGCCCATTCTTTGACAAATTCCTTCAATGGAAGGAGTACGAAAAGCAGCCCATCAGTGACAAATACTTTTACGAATTCAGGACTCTGGGAAAAGGGGGCTTTGGTGAGGTAAGCATAAAAACTATATCTTTTCTACCTTAATCATTTTATGTGGTTTCCAAATTCAAGTTCTAAAATCTACTGGCATTTTTGGATTTCTTGGTTGTAATAAATTACTGTTGATTAGAACTTATGAGCAAGAGGATTAACCTCATTTCAAGCTGACTGACAAGCGTGAGCCATAAAATCACAATTTATATTGTTGGTCCAGAATCAAATCTGATGACTCGACAGAAAATAAGGGCCAAAATAAGAAGTCTTTGACTCCCAAAACTAAATATTTGAAACTTATTTTTTTTGAGCCATCCAAGTATTTCAAAAAGGGAAAAGTTTGTCAAACAGAAGCATTAAAAGAATCATCAGTAATAGATGAACACTACTATCCT